CTTAAAGCAGTATAGCCAAATACCCTTTTTGGCCCTGCCCCTCAGCCCCCTGGGGGGTCAGCTACACCATTTGTACAATTTTAAATCCCTGCCTCCCAGGAATGCTTTTGATCAAATATGATTGATATCCAGTGCACAGTTCTACAGAAGAAGTCGTTTGTAGCAATATAGCCAAATTGCCCCCTTTTGGCCCCGCCCCTAAGTCCCCTGGGGAGTCGGCCCCACCATTTGTACAATTTTTAATCACCACCACCTAGGGATGCTTCGGACCAGGTGAGCTAAAAATCGAAGGCATGCAGACAGCTATTTGATTGCTTTCAGACATAAAAACATGATCAATTGCTCAGCTGATTTATACCTGTTCTTTGAAGATTACAGAGGAGTGAAAACCGGCTTCAAAGCCAGGTAACTTAACTGTTATATGCTGATGTACAATTCTTTTGATGTGCATCAAATTATCATACCACTTATATCATTATAACTCATTCACCCCTGTAGATATGTTTGAACTCTTCCAATTCAAAGGTTGGAATAGTTCATTATAAAATTTCGGGGGTAAATGAGTTAACAAGGTGGCCAACACAGAACCTTCATATTCGAGGGTGCAGAGAACATAAGAGTGCATAATCCCTTAAATATTTCAAGGACGAGTAACGGAATTATGTCATTGATCATGTGACACCTTAACAATAACACTGAAACGTTTTGCAAATTTTTTAAGGTTTTATGCATCGTCAATGATCACAAGATTATCGTAATGAAAATTGAACCTCTTTGTTCAGTGATCATGTGGTCTATTATTTGTTGTTACTGATCATGCAACGTGTCACAGATTGCGTGTTACCCTTAATTGTATGGCCTCCCATTCGTCATCATTGATTACGTGAAATTTCTCATCAAATCGTCGGAAGATGTCTCGACTGGCTTGTAGACTCTGGTCTATCTCTGTTAGGAAAGTGTTTACGTTGAAGTCACATGACCGTACGATTCTGTCTGTGATCGAAGATAACTGTAATAAAACAATACAAAATAAACGTTACTTATTACGATTTCTAATGGACGCAGGCTTAATTCCCTAAGCTGAAATGCTATCGAATTCACCAATGGAACGTTATTACGTACTTTTTCTTCGTAGAATTTCTGCCGTAGCTTTACTCTAAGGGTCCTTGGATGGAACAGTCTCTCTCAGCTCAAATGTTAATTACGGAATGTTATATAACTTACCTTTTCCTCATAGAATTTCTGTCGTAGCTTAGGGTCATTGGGTGGAACAGATTCGCGTAGCTTTCTGTACCAACACTTCACAACGTAACCTCTCCAAGCGGCCTGTATCCTATAAAAAGGATTGGAATACGAGTAAATAATTGGTGCTGCTATACGACTAGTATTAGGTTAGGCAAACATTAGACCTAGAAGCCATCTTATAACAATTAGATTTATACATTAAATACATATAGGATAGACGGCTCCTTCTCTCCTCTGTCTCCCTTTTCTATGCCTTCACGCCATACTTCATCCTTTCTACTCATTTTCACGTCTGTACTTCATTTGCTGGATAATCAAACTACTCAGTAGTGAAGCGAACGTAAAACCTATCAATCAATCAAGTAAATGAAGGCGATTTCTGTAACGTCAATATTTTTGTGTGTCATTTCTGTAGTTCCTAGTTTTCTTTTACTTAAATAAAAGGAGTAGGTTTTATTACCATGGAGTACTGTGTTTCACACTGTTCAACTAATCTATGTGCTACTCTGTATATACAGAAATTCCCTTTTCGCCCAATATTAAATTTGCCCTTCATATTTGATTAGTATGCATATTATGTTGTTTACAAATGTTCACTGTAATGATACATTAGGCCTCATTTCGGAGGGCGAAAAATTAAGCTTCAATGAAAAATTCCCTGTTATACAGACGTATAATCCGATCAAGTAAAAAGTTGATTTGAACAACATAAGACTTAGTCTCACAAAATTTGGTAAATTGTGTGGATTAAAAACTGACCGATTTCTTGGCTTTGTCCTGGCGTTTGATTCTCGCATATTGTTACTTTTCGCTGTCATTGACCTCATCAATGTCTTACATGTACTTGTCAGTGTTTCACTTAAAATTAATATTGACTTGTGTACCTTATAAGGCAACTTATAATACACTGAGAATACTTATGGACAATCAGTTTAAAATCATAATCAATAATCAGTTTGTAATAGATTGAATCAGTTTATAATTTTATGGGACTGAATGCCCCCCAAAAAATGAGAGAACACTACTGTTACATCAATAGACAGAGACAAATCTTGTCCGCTAATCGTTGAAACGTGAGAAAAAAATTCTCTTGTGTTTAATGGAAAAAATTTGTTTGTTACACATTTGAGAACATTTACAATAACAAGGGGAACCTACATATGAAATTTTATTTAAAAAGATGTGTCAAACACTTTTTGAGAAATAGCGATAATAATTGTGGCAGACTTTAATTGTACATAGAATTAAGGTCTCCTTTTAGCTTTGAGCTAGAGGGAATTTCCTTTTAGCTCAGTGGTAGAGCGTCCGACTAGGAACCTGGAGATCGAGGGTTCGATTCCTAGTGGAAACACATTATTCTCTTTCCTATTACAAATGGTGTTCATGGGCCTTCCTGTGGTGACAGGGAGTTAGAACCGCGGTTGTGGTGTTCGAGGGTGAACACATTTAAAAAGGGGGGAGTAGTGTGGCAGGTTTTAATTGTACATAGGATTACGGTTGCCTTCTAGCTTTGAGCTAGAGGGAATTTCCATTTAGCTCAGTGGTAGAGCGTCCGACTATTAGGAACCTGGAGATCAAGGGTTCGATCCCCGGTGGAAGCACATTATTCTCTTTTTTGTTGCACAATCATGAATTTTCAAGATCAAAGATCAGCCTGCATGATCTGGCTGCAATATCTTTCTTTTTTGACCTGTCTAATAATATGAAATGTGCACAACTTCAAGGTGAGCATTATAAATGTCAAATTGTAATGATTTAAAAATCTATTTGAATATTACTGGAAGTTGGAATTTTGCCTGTGTGTGTCATAATGTGGAAGTAACCCAATCCATAATAATCCTGGGGTTACGCTCACTTTCTCTCTCTGCATCCCTGGGATATATGTCAGCAAAATTGAAGGCTCACAGTGTGCACCACTTTGTAGATGAAATGAGAAGATATATATATATATATATATATATATGTAGTTTGATTCTTTGAATCTGTTGGTCGCGAAACGGTAAAATTGCCTGGCTTTGAAGTCAGGTGTCATGCATTCCTTGTAATCTTCAAAGGACAGGTATCAGCCTTAGCGCTTGATCGGGTGTTTTTTTTGCCCGTGATTAATCAAATAGCTAATCGCGTGCATTCAGTTTTGCTATGACATATATTCCAGGGGTGCGGGGAGCGAAATTGAGCGTAACCCCTGGAGTATGGAGGATGGTGTAGCTCAGGGTAGGGACGTACTTACTTTGTGGCACATATAATCCTATACTCCTTCGCTCCCTCATGTATGACCCTGGTCTGGTACTCCGCGTTCCTACACATAGGGCAGGTCTTGCGCCCAGTGAACCTCTCGAAGGCCTGGAGGCAAGCCTACAGTGGCAATTCACACAAAGTTCAAATTTAGAGTCAAATATTAAGTTTTTGAAATTCAAAATTAGAAAATAGGAATCATCCTCTTTTCTTTTTTACAATTTATATACAACTAACACACAGGAAACAGTTAACCTGTTTATTACTCTTGTTAGCAACATATTTACAAACAGTAATACATTTGGCGCATCAGGGGCTACTCACTCCAACAATTTTACTACCATATATTTATGCTACTATTTTTTGAACAAGCTAGACTCCGGGGGTATTGAGAGAAGCAGCTAGACTCTGAAAATGTCTTCAGAGAAGCACCTACACAGCCCAGAGAAGTGTGCAGCTAGACTCTGAAAATGCCTCCAGAGAAGCGACTAGGCTCTGGTTGTGAACACCCCTAGAGAAGCCATGATGAGAGCAGCTAGACTCCTGTAATACAAGAGAAGCCGCATCCCCACACTAATATAAAACTATGTTGAGATTGGGGGTGAATTCCCCTAGAATTTAAAGCCAAAATTGAATGAATGTGTTATACGAGTATGACACAGGAGTGAGAGCCCCCCCCCCAATTAAATTAATCCAATCTCAGGTATAGAAGCCTAAGCTAGAAGAACAATATACAATTAAAAAAACAATATACAAAGAACAACCCCATAGGGATAAAACATTTCATTGGTCAGCTGCACTGGCTCTTGTGCTCTGCTGACATATGACATCTATTGGTCAGTTTGACCAGTTATGTAACTGGGCATGTAATTTGCTGACTTGAGGGTCTAAGGACCTATATGATTTACAGCTGTAACCTGATAACACAAAGAAAGCTGACCACTGTATTGGTCCTGTAACCAATGTGTTTGATTACCTATATACAAGCTATAAATTTTATGCAAATAAAATTGCCTACCAACCAAAATATCAATAACATATTAAAAACTTAATATTCTCGTTATACTAATTTTCATAATTAAGAAAGAGAATTGGCTTGCTGTGTTCCTTTAATTTCTAATTCAGGTACATTTTGTATGTATGTGATATTTGACCTTGAATTTATTCTCCATATTTTATTAGCACCTCAGCATTTTGTCGTATTTTTACCATTAGAGAAAATGCAGAGAAAGAATTGCACATTATATTATGGCAAATTTATGCAAAAAAAAAAAATACTGAGAAAATAGGGATAAAGTTCAGAAGAAATACCTCGACAGATATTTGATGCTGAGAAATTTGATTTAGCAAAATTAGAAAAATTCAGAATACATACACAGTATTTAGGACCAAGACATTTTTGATACAGAAAAAACACAGGAACAGATGGGAAATTGCTGATAAATACTGCACAAAGCTACGCAGGCCCATCTAGAATCCTGGCCTATGATTGGTCAATTTTCAAATTCTGGAAGCAGTCATTTAAAAAAAAAAAAAGATTATGGGTATGTATTTTAGAAGCATTCAGTTACTCAAAGATATTAAAGATACCACCTCAGATTCCATATCTTTTGTATCATATTTTATATAAATTTACATAAGATATGACAAATATTAAGAGGATTACTGTACATGTGATACCAAAATCATAAGATAAGCGTGAAGCCTTTACGTTATGTTTAATAACTTTCCTTTCCTACATACAGTAGAAAATAAATTAAATAAAGTTATATAAACTTAATTTCTTTTACAACAATTATGAAACCTGGAGGTGCAATCACAACACAACCTGACGTCCTCAGTTAGCTGTGCTTTAATATTTATTATTATACCTTCTGTTAAAATCTCGTAATCTGATTGGTTGAGAAAGACGTGAACATTTTCAATGTTACTTGCTCGTTTCACAAAGATAAAGAAGACAGGGTGACCTTCCAAAAAATATCACAGGCGCCAAACGTATGTGTGCACGGTTCGTCCCAGTGCCAGGGTGTTATTCCAAAAATTGTTACATGTGACAAACGTATGTGTGCACGGTTCGTCCCAGTGCCAGGGTGTTATCAAATCACATTCATGGTTGGTTCATTCGACAACTGTTGAGATGAAGTCTTGGTTTATGTCAAATCAACACAAGGACCTTTAAAAATGGTGAAGTGGTGAAACACCTTAACATGACACTCGGTATAATAAATTAAAAATCACATTCATGAGAGGGCGATATTGCATATTTTCACCCCAAGGAAGCATTGTTGACCTCGGCTTGAATGTGATATTTATATACTGTTAACTATATGTTTATGTTAACTAAATGTAACATATAGTTAACTGTAAATAAAGCACCTCTAACTGAGGACGTCAGGTTGTGTTGTGCTTGCACCTCCATGTTCGTAAGTCTTAGATTTATGCAATCACCCTGCATACTCGAGGGTATCCACGCCTAGACGACAAATCTGAAACAACACCGCTGAGAAGCAAGGCGTTGGCTCCTCTCCATCTATTCCTAATTATGAAACAAGTTATTTCAACTTATATAAATCACTCTAGGGTGGTCGGGTGGTGCAGTGGATCGGGCACTTGCCTTTCACCAAGGCAGCCAGGCTTTGATTCCCCAATCAGATGTGAAAAGGTATGGGGTCACCTGCCCAATCACGTGGGATATCTCTGGGTACTCTGGTGTTTCCTTCCATCTTAAGACCCCCCCACCAAGAGTGATTATGTATAGATTAATACAGTATACAAATTTTTGCGTTTTTTTGCCCTCCGTAATGAATGTGAATTTAACGTTGGAGCGACATGCTATACATAGTTATGCGATGGGCAATATTACTGTAAACTAGGTAAATACCGATTTTACCAGCTGAGGTCAAAACTTTGCTTAGATAGATTATATTTTTTTTAGTCTACAGCAGTAAGTCGGGCCTACCCCTGCTTATGGAGTGGTGCAATTGTTCTTTTTTTTTCAAAATCAAAAGTTTTCATTCAAGGTTCAGAGGTTCCACTTCAAAGAACAGAATTAGGAATATTTTTCAAGGTGTAATTTTTGTGCTTACCTTATGAAAAACATGCGTGCATGATAGGAGAACCTGTGAACAAAATCAACACAAATAAACAAATCGGGAATAATGTAAACACGTACAACAAATAGCCATAGGCTTAATTACTGTAAATCGTAATCATTTCACCCTTCACTTCTCCGTCTTAAACATTTTTTTTAAAAACAAATTTAATTCACTGAAAGTGTATCAATGGATGAAATATGAAGAAAAACAAAGGCCCACAGGCAATATGATAACTTGATGGAAATTTAAACAATGTGTATCAAGGAATATTGCAGAAATACAAGAGGAACTACATACAATGTATATTGGTGGGAAAATCAGTTTTGGATGGAAAAAAACATTAAAATGTACCTGTGTACTTGGGATTTTTTTTTACCAAAGAAGTGTACTATGGCAGCGATGGTGACAACATTCCATTTACCTCATTCATCCCTGAAGACACATTTGAATCATCCAATTCAAAGGTTGGAAAAGTTCATTATGAAATTTCAGGGGTGAATGAGTTAATCAACACAAAAAATAACAACATATAAAGATCAATTAAAGCAGACATTCAAGATGATGACTGTGGCCTCCATCTTAGATATATGCATGACCAACCATAAATTCATGTAACAAAACTTTGAGTCTAAAATTCCTTTGAAGTTTTAGAAATTTCCTTATTCTTGTGAAGTTTTATTGAAGCTCCTGTGGCAAAGCTGAAGTTATTGAGTTCAAAATAGATTTTCAAAATGGTAGCCATGGTGACCATCTTGGATTTTTGACTAATCTTAATTGTAAATCTCTGTCAGGGTCATATACTGAACATTCTTAAAAGGTTTCATTAAATTCCTTCTGCGGAACTGGAGTTGGAGTTTTAAGTTCAAAATAAATTTTCAAGAAGGTGACCATAATTTTCAGATTATCATTAATTTAAGCTGTCAGATACTCTCTGTTTTCTATCTTAAGTGATTTTGATTAAATGTTAGATTTCATTTTTTAATACCTGCTCCTGTGTTCCAAAGTCCTCCTTACAGATAACACATGGCTGTTTGGAGTCGTCTCTCTTGTTCGATTTTTCTTTCACTGATATCCATTCCTGTTCAGACAGCGGTTGCTCTGGGGCGTCAACTAGTCCCATCTTCTGAGCTAACAACACAGGTAAGTCAGAGAAAGTGAAATTATTAACACAGGTAAGTAAGAAAAGGTAAAAGTAATCACACAGGTAAGTTTAAAAAGTTAAGGTGATCACACAGGTAAGTTTAAAAAGTTAAGATGATCACACAGGTAAGTTAGAGAAAGATGAAATTATTAAGACAGGTAAGTAAGAAAAGGTAAAACTTATCACACAGGAGAGAGAAAAAAGGTTAAGGTAAAATTCAGGTTACTTAGAAAGATGAAATTATTAACACAGGTTAGTAAGAAAAGGTAAAAGTAATTGCACAGGAAAGTTTAAAAAGCTATGGTGATCACACAGATAAGTTAAAAGGTTAAGGTGCTCACACAGGTAAGTTAAAAGGTTAAGGTGATCACACAAGAGAGAGAAAAAAGGTTAAGGTGATCACACGGATAAGTTAAAAAGTTAAGGTGAGCACACAGGTAAGTTAAAAGGTTAAGGTGATCACACAGGTAAGTTAAAAGGCTAAGGTGATCACACAGG